TATATAATTTGTGTGTGTATTTTGTTGTGCAATAACATTTAAAAGATTTCAGTACATAATTTGGTGAGATCTTAAAAAAGAAAAAAAAAAGATCTGTTCCTACTGCTGTATTGATTTTGTTGGTGCTTTTATTTCCAGCAGTCTATGAAAGGCACACAGACAAAGGTGACTGACCGATAAGATGCAGGGAACATTGGACTTTACCAGCCAGATTGGGGTGGGATAGTGTGAAGCTTCATGCCAGGGAGCAACACTTTACAACCAAAGAAAGCAAATTCAGTCAATAAAACACATCTCTAATTAGTGCACCTGTTGTCTGCAGGACAGATTAGAGCTTGTTTTATCTCCTGGTATAAAGAACTTGGAGAAATTTTTTCGTCATTTTAGAAATGGGTTTGTAGTTCATAAGTACTGAATATCAATGTCTGCTTATAACTCTAATTTTATATATATATATATTTCACTTCTTATTGGAAAAGCAYGAGCAGTGAGTATAGCAGTGGATCACTTCATTTTTTATTTATTTTTTTATTTTTACAAAAATGGAGGAGAGCTTGCAGAATGTTTTGATGATATGTTTGAAATTGGCTGCCTAAATACTCAAAGAAAGTGAAAAGAGCAGCTCAGTGGTTCAGGAGTTGAACAACAAATGACCTATAGTAACCTCTGGTGTTCCCTCTCTCACCCTGTCTCCTCCCTCTCTGTTTTCCCTCTYGTCTCCCATAGGGCTTTGTAGAAAGCGACTTCTTTCCTACTCACCGTCTTCAAGATATCGAGTCATTAAAACCTCTGCAATAAGTCACAGGGGTCGGGTTGACATCCAATAAGCTGGTCCTCCATCAACTCAGAGATATTCACAGACCGAGGACTCACATGGGCATGATGGACYGGCAATAACTAGGACATCACCCTCAGAGGTAAGGTCAGTCCAACACCGTGCCTGCCACATTATCTCTGTCAACAAAATTTCAGTTTAATGATGTTTTCTAACAGAGATTTTTTATTTTTGGGAGGCAAAAAGTTATGAGTTCTGTTTGGTGGATTTGTTTATCAGTGGGTAATTGTTGTTTAATGAATGTGGTTTATTTATGTTTTTTTTTTTCGTAAATTTTCCTATAAAATAATCCTATTTTTCTAATTTATTTTCTTTTATTCTTAGTTTTTATTTGTTTTACTTAGGAGTGTAGAAAAGTCTTGCGTTTGTTGTCAGCACTGCGACTCTAGGTCTTACTGGAACCTTATATTAATGTCATGAATAATTTCACATCAGTTGAGTGTTTGTAAACACGCAGGTGTCAGGGCTCTGTTCCTTTAAAAATAATGACCATTAATAACTAAATCAGGAACTCAGCAGAGAATCTGCTTTAGAGGCTCTGGCTTCTCCAAGTCAAATTTTGTTTGACATTTTTTGTTGTTTCTGATAAATTTGCGCTTTTCCTAAAGACAAACCAAGAAGCAAAACAACAACAACAAAAATAGACGTTTCATAATGATATCGTTTGTAGGGTTGAACTAGATAAATGGAATGTTTGTGCTATAAGCCGACAGAAATTTCATATCAGTAAGTTCCCCGCTTGTAAACATCCTGTAAATGATTTTTAAAAGTACTTGATGATAAATGGATTGTTTTTTTATGTCTGTGTGAAAAAAGTCTCCAAAATGATCCTGCATCCATTTCATTTATATTCATCTATAACAGTTTTCACAAAAACAAATTCTCCAAAATTATGTTTCACTGTCATAACGAGTTTTAAAATTTCATGTAAATGAACTTTATAACCTGGTATCTTTTAGGAATTATATATTCTGTCAAATATTATGTAAAAGCAGCTTCTGTTTCTTGTATATTACAGCAAAAAAAGAGCGATTTTTACATTTTTCAAACCGCTTGAGTGTTTTTTTTTCTTCCCCTGCAGGCTGGTTAAGAATAGCCAAGAACTGTGTTTGTGTGTCTGCTGAATCAGTTTCCTGAAATGGATCCCCCTGTGGCACATGATAGACTTTCATTTCTGCTTTTACATCCAGCTGGTTTTGTTACGCACATTTTTGTCGGCAGTGTTTGTTTGAATACGCCTCGAATCTTTCTAAGAACTTAACAATGCTGTGTAAGATCAGAGTTAAACTCTTGGCACTGATGTCATGTACATCCTGATTTGGGCTCAGGCTAGTCACACCTACTTTTCTTATCCAAGTGTGTTGTTGAAGTACTATCACCTGTCATGAAAGGTGGGTGAACGTGTGTCTGTGTTAGCAAAATACCTCATGAGCTACTGGACAGATTAAACGAACATTATCAGCAAGTAATCCGTGTTCATCTGCAACTGATTAAAATTGGGAGTTAGTGTGATTTAAAATGATCATCACCGCTAGACAGCCTTAGGCATAAAAGCAAATGGCTATACTGCAGTCTTTTTTTGCAGATATTAAACTAACACTTGGTGTTATGGCAGCTGAGAAACATCATGAACACATACTCTAAGTGCTAATAGATCTCAGAGCTTTGTTTGGCATCCCAGACGGCAGGCGATATACATTCTTTCAAGGAATGCTAGATAGAGGTGAATCTCATTGTCCATTTGTCAAAAAATCCTGCAAGTCTTGTTGACTTGSTAACTGACAGTATACATGATAAGGAAGCACAGGTTGCTTATCATGGTTTAATCTGTGATCAAATGAGATGAAAACTGTTTCAAAACATTCAGACGTTTGTGCCTGACATTAACAAAACTGTAAAGATCCGTTTTTATAATCTAAAGAAAACCTGGTTTTGCTAGAATTGGCTGTGATTTTTTTTCTTCTTTTGTTTATTTTGTTTTTTAATAAAATGTGTACAACATAATGGCACGGAGGTAACTGATATTCATGTTTTCTTTCCACAGGTACACGTTGATTTCGTAATGACAAGCTGCTGTGCAGAAGATGTCCACATTGTCTGTGACTGATATCCCAGATGTTGGTCATGGTGAGAAGAAAAGTATTTTTTAATACATGTCTTATGAATCACAGTGAGAGATCTGACTAGACAGGATATTATTTTTAGTTGTACAAATCTCTTACTGTTACACTGTTGAAGAAACTTTATGAAGATCCTGCTTTATGTTTTAGTAGTAAATGTTCTTGACTTTCTTGTTGTTATAAATTTATTGGAAATTAGCTTTTCTTGAACAGTTGGTCCTTTAATCTCTGTTCTGATATACTTCTGTACATGATTTGTGTTTGTTTACAAACCTCTAACAAAAAGTGATTTTAATGTAGAATTTTCAAAGGTGTTATCTGTTCATGTGATATTTTGTATCTTATTTTAAATCTGAACACCTGTTATAACAAATAAAGACGAGAGGAAGCGGTGTTGAACAACCGGCCTTTGTTTTCAAAACGTTTTGTTTCTCCTCGCTCAGATGAGAGTAAGGTGTTCAACGGGGCCTCTGTGCTGCAGCTGGGCTACATGGTTCAGGAGAGCGATGCACTGACCGACCTCTCCCAGCCGGATGACGTCCCCATCCCCCCACATAAGGGTCCTTCACTGACTGAGATGGGCAGCCCTCTGCCGGGGGAGCCAAAGGACGTTAAGGTGGATCCTGCAGCAGCTGATGCATCCAGCAGCATAGGCGAGTGAAAAGTACTAACATGAGTGTTTACCTTCAAAGGAAAGGAAATRTGTTTAGCAGATTTTTAAAGATCGCCCAAGTCTCTACTGTCAGTCATTAATGAGAGTGAATCAGACATGAAGTAGGCTTGAGCGCAGATCAGTGGTGTCTGTCTTCATACAACTGGAGTGACAGTGCTTACTGACAAGACTGACCTGTTTTCTTTGTTGTTTTATTTTCTTCCTTTGGACATGTTCAAACATGTCACAACCCAAGACGTGTCTCTTTTACTTTACAGTTTAGCATATTTAGCCTTGTCATTCTGACCCATCTGTAGCTGTTTTGTGTCCTGTTTTCTGTTCACACATCCACTCCACAGCAGGGCTCTCTCTGCGTGATACGCTCTTTCACAACTGGAAATACTCAGCAGTCCTGTCTGGGTTGAGCTCAAAAAGGGCTGGACATTGTCCAAAAAGTGTGTCACTGTGTATGCTGTGTTTTTGTTTAAAACAGATCAAGGCTTAGGAAAATCTTTTTAAAAATGATTATTCAGCTACTATTTGTTATGTAAAGGCCCTTTCACACCATGATGTTTTAGACCAATTATGGGATGGGCGATATGTTATCGCATGTGATACATTCACCATGGTAATAATTTGTCATTTCACGGTAAAAACAATAAAATACCACCGCGTGCCGCCAGGCTTTACATGCTTCCCCACCAGGTTAAGCTTCGTTTGTTCACTCAGAGCGGATGTCGACGTGCAGAGCATGTGCTAAATTAGTAAAGCTAAAATGCTATCCTAATGACTCTCAGTGTGCAAAAACAGTCAGTCATCTAAAAACTCTTTAGAGTTCAACAAAACGTTAAAAAGGTAACAGGACGGGGCAGCTTCCCACAAAAAAACCCAGCTCCTCCRTCTCCTCYGTGTCCCAGCCACAAGCTGCATCAGCACGGGTCTCTCTCACACAACAGCCCCTCCCTCCCCTGAACATTAACCCTTTAGGGAACAGATATTATAGCTTTACCTCCCAGAGCAGCAAAACACATTATTTTTTAGTGATTAGTGAAAAGTCTTTTCTTACGCTTTTCTTTTTTATTATATTACTGATATTTTACTAGAATTAGGGGTATATGAATCGGTCCACATATCCATAAAGACTGGAACTCCACAGATCTTCAGCTACAGAACAGAGCTATTAATATATTATGTATTTTGATGTGTTTTTAATGTCACCCAAGCAACAGAAAACAAGTACTCAAGTCAGCAGAAACCATTATTAGCACGCTCATTTGCTAATCAGGAATTTTCTGAGCAAACTTGTCATACATGCACCAAAACCACTGACTGTTTCTAACTGTGGGTGCACTCACAAATGTTTTCAACATTAACTTCAGATGGTTTGCAAAGATTTTCCAGTGAACTCCCTAAGGGATGTTTCAGATAACTTCCTCCTTAGTTACATATCTGAAAGATCATTGAATCAGATGATACAGCTGGTGATGGTGGAGACTTAACCTGTGTGTGTGTGTCTGTGTGTGTGTGTGTGTCTGTGTGTGTGTGTGTGTGTGTGTGTGTGTGTGTGTGTGTGTGCGCGCCAGCTGGAGCTTCCGCTTAGGACTATTTTCGCCAATGATTGTTGAGATTGAGAATGTACAGTATGTAGATATTTATTTTTATCAAACTAAATGACACAATTAATTTAGCTCTCAGGAAGCAATTGTTAAATGTACATCTACAACCCCATAAAAAAATAAAAAGTCTAACGCTCATGACTCTTCATGTGTCAGTCTGGTATTGTAAAATTTCTGTTATAGTCTGAGTGCTGAAAGAACGGCAATCCTTCATATTGGTCAGGCAGCCAGGAAATGGCCTGAATAGCCACCGACGCTGTTTTGCAGAACACCAGGAGGACCACCAAACCAATCTGTAGAAATCCAGTGATCAAAATCCAAATATATATCCAGAACAGAGGTCCCACCTTTGACATGTCCTCCCATGGAAGAAAACTTTGTTCCAAAATTATATTAAGAGACCAGCTAACCAAATCTATAAAAATAAAAATATCCATAATTTCTGGTTTCAGGTGAAAATGTAGAGGAGGTTCCAAGCAGCAAAGCAGGGAAGGGAGGGCAGGAGAGAAGGAAAAAGTGTCTTACTCCTCCGAGAGCAGAACATAAAGGGTCAATAAATAAATAAATAAATAAATAAATAAACATACATGTCTTTCTATCTTTGTGAGGACTACACACACACACACACACATGCCCCCCTTGGATAAAAGTAGGGGAAACGCTGAGCTGACAATCATTTGCAACATACATTCTTAGGTTCTTCTCATTGCGCTGGATTTTTACTTTAGCTAATAATTATTTACTAAATAGCTTAACCAATAACTAATTTTTCATGGAAGAATTTTAACTAAACTTTGAGAAATTTAGATTTGATCTACAAAAACAACCAAATACACTTTGGAGTCAACTCAATTTCCATAATTCTAAATTATATATGAATTAGTTAGTTTTACAAATCTTGAGCTATGACTTAATGTGATAGTTACTGAGTTATTCCCAACACTTACTGTGAGTGTGACATCTGGCAATATTACACGAGATCTGACTTTATTTCTAAGGCTTGACCAGTCCAGCTATCATTCCATCACATACGATGATCTTGGATTAAAACTCTGGCAAGAAACGCATATATGCATTCCTTCAAGGGTCACTAGGCCTTTTCATTTTCGCTTAGTTTTTTGAAATCTACATTTGATGTGGTAACTGCATTTTTGTCATTTATAAAGGAATAATAAAATGTTAGTAATTTTTTATTACATTTTTATTAGGGATTTCCAAAAATACTTTTTTCCGTTCAGCTGAACATTCAGCACTTTAGTAGCATGCTTAAAAATCTGCCTGTAAGTCATTTATAAACAAACAATCAAGTCATTTAGTAAAGGTATGCGAGTGATGAAACCGTTCTTCCTTTTGTGAAATAAATGTGCTTTTCAACTTATTTCAGAATTATGACATTTTTTCCAGATTATAGAGCGCTAGTTTTTCTATCTCTGAAAAGTCAGACTATGCTGAATGTTTTTCAACTATACAGCTGTCTAATCTCCATTATTCATGCTTAACAAATTAATTAAAGCATTTTTTTGTTGTTTTTTGACTGTATAGATGGTCAGCCAGTGAAGAGGAAAAAGGGCCCTGCCCCAAAGATGATGGGCAACGAGGTGTGTAGTGTATGTGGTGACAAGGCCTCTGGTTTCCACTACAACGTGTTGAGTTGTGAAGGCTGCAAGGGCTTCTTTCGGCGCAGTGTCATTAAAAGTGCCCAGTACTCCTGCAAGAACAATGGTCGCTGTGAAATGGACATGTACATGCGCCGCAAGTGCCAGCAGTGCCGCTTGCGCAAGTGTCGGGAGGCGGGCATGCTGGAGCAGTGTGAGTTCCTGCATACTGAGTGAATCCGAGAAGGAAATTCAGGTTGCAGTGCGGGGGAAGCTCTGCTGAAAAACTAATCTTTGACTCAGAGGTTGAGCTGTAGTCGTAATGTATGCATCCTCTTTGCCCTTCAGGTGTGCTTTCTGAGGAACAAATCCGACTGAAAAAGCTAAAAAAGCAGCAGGAGGAGGAAACGGCCCGCACGTCTACGGTGGCCACACCCTCCCCTCCACAGGAAGTGGCTGCACTCGATCCACATCAGCAGGAGATGATCGAGAAGCTGGTGGCCATGCAGAAGCAGTGCAACAAGAGGTCTTTCCTTGATCGACCAAAAGTGACGGTGAAAAAAACAGCGCTAGAGAGAAAATGTTTCTGCACACACGAGTTCTTGTCCTCAAATGTCAGTTCTGTTTGTCTGAAACACTTGGGTCAGTTTTACCTGACTGCTGCTTATCATTTACAGCCATGGCCACAGAGTCAGGATCTGCAGAATCGAGAAGTGCGGCAGCAACGTTTCGCCCACTTCACCGAGCTCGCAATCATGTCGGTTCAGGAGATTGTGGATTTTGCCAAGCAGCTACCTGGTTTCCTAGAACTGACACGAGAAGACCAGATCGCTCTGTTGAAAACGTCTACCATCGAGGTTTGTTGCTGATGATTTAATGTGTTCATTTAAGTTAGTAAATGTACTTGTGGCCCTTTTCCACTAGTGCCTGGACAGCATGATTGACTTGGCTCTCTGTGGTTCCAGGACTTTTCCACTAGCAAGGATTCATGGAACCAACCCCTTTTTCAGAACCTCCTTTGCTGCAGTTCTAAGTGTACCATGCTGGCCTGAAAACATGATGTCAGGAGACTGTCAGCCACTGACTGGTTAGGAGGTGGAGTCACTGGTTGCATCATAAGAGCTACTCTCACAACAACCTGATCAGCCATTTGCAATAACAACACTACCATGTCCTCCATTGTTGTGTTGTATATCCTTTCAGGTTGTCTTCTTTTACTAGGTTTAATGGTGGCTGGCAAATAGTTTAACGGAGAATAACCGCCTCCAGTTGGTAAGAAATGGGGCGTCAATTTTCGGACTGTGGGACCACCCAATCTTACACTGAACCCATCCACTAGATCTGTTACTGAAGTATAGTGGAAAACCACCTGAACTGTGCTGAACAGAGTTCAGACGTAATGTAGAGGAGCTAGTGGAAAAGGGCCATTATATCAGTGCTTTTGATTCTGTTTCTACAGACTGTCTTCAACAAAACATTGAGATATTAGCAACAATCGATGCACAATGTGCAATGTGACTTCTTTGAACGTGCTCTTGAAGTTCTCAAATTTTCTCGGTAGACTACAATTGTTACTGGAGCTTTGATCTTTTTATACCAAATAGATACTTTAATACAGTTACTTCCCTGGGCCATAAAAACTTCTGATCACATATAGATCCAGAAATTCAGCTAAATGGATAGAAGTGTTTTAATTTTTATTTATAAATTGATTGATTGATGATGCCTTTATTGTCATTGTACATTTCCTTGTTGCATTTTAAGTATATATGAAGGGTTCAAAAATGCATGCATCTGCGTTGAATCGTTCATTAAACACAATTTGTCCAACAATACAGATTTGAAAATTTTATTTTATTATCATTTCTTCTGAAGATGCTCTGTGTTGAAGACTCAGGGGATCTACGTTCGACTACTCAGCCTAGTCTGCATTGCTGAGGAACTTGCAGTTTCAGCAACATTTGATTAATAAACTAATTTTGATGTTTAACAAATGTTAATAATTAATTTCTATTCATTTCCAGGCATGGGAATTTTTTTTTGTATTAAAATATCGAACTGTGAGACTAAAATATGGGACCGAATGGAATCGTGGATTTTTGTATCGTTGCACCCCTAGTGTGTGTGTATTTTTAGTATGATTATACTTGAGAGATGATACATCAAAGCAGGAACGCTCTACAATCCCTGCACATGATTTTTACACCAATGCCAGTCACTTCCAAAATCCTCCACCTGAATTCAGAAAGCTTTGGTTTCTGAAAAAACAATTGCTTTTGTCGTGACACAAAAGTTTGAAGGCAGCAGAAAAGCCTCAGTTTAAAACAGTTTGGTGTAAACTGAGCTTTAGTGTTTCCTGGAGGTAAATGAAGTTGTAACAGACTTTTTGGCTTCAGTATGTCACTCATAGATGTTTGTCTTCCTCAGATTATGCTGCTTGAGACTTCGCGGAGATACAATCCCACCATTGACAGCATTACATTTTTAAAGGATTTTAGCTACAATAAGGAGGATTTTGCCAAAGCAGGTGATCTTTCACATTTATCCTGTCACATTTTTCTGAATAAACTTCCTTTCTATACTCAGTAATGTTACGTGGTATAAATGAAAATTACACAACTGTGTAATGGTGTGTTTATATTTAAGAAGACAACTTTAATTTTTCTGTTTGCTTTTGTATTTTTTAAATTGTGACAGCTTTATGCCAAAAAATATGAAGTCCTGGTTGTAATTTCTTTCTTAAAATAACTCTTATCCACTCTCAATTTTCAATATTTATCTTCTATTTTTTCTCTCTCTGATTTTATCCCCTCAGGCCTTCAGTTTGAGTTCATTAACCCCATCTTTGAGTTTTCAAAAGGAATGAATGACCTGCACCTTGATGAGGCCGAATATGCTCTGCTCATTGCTATCAACATCTTTTCTGCAGGTCAGATCTGATTAACTTCAATGCTCTGTTTCTCATCAATATACATGGCACAAAGTAAAGTAATGCTTCTCCTAAATCCGTCAGCTGTGTGAGAATCGCATTCTCTGTGTAAGCTTTGTTTTGTTTTTGTTTTTCTGTGTGTAGATCGACCGAATGTGCAGGATCACGATCTGGTTGAGCGGCTGCAACAACCTTATGTGGATGCTCTGCGCTCTTACATCATGATAAAGAGACCAAACGTAAGTACCTGGAGCTTTAAATAGCATTTACTCTGGTGAGCCACAAAATGTCAGCTCAACCTGGCTATCCTCATCACAACAAAAACATTCAGTCAGGATTGAGATTATGTTACTTTGTAGAAACCAGAAATGAGTTACAGGTTTTTTTTAATGTCCAGTAAAACCTTTTATTTCTCTACCTCTGAAAAAAATATAAAAACCCTAAACCTGAATATAAATAAAACTTATCCTGTGACTTTAAATTATAGACTTAGTTCTTAAGTTCATCAGTGGTTGATTTATTTTCAACTATAATGCCAAGAATTTGGGACAGTGTGTAAAATGTAAATAAAAACAGAATGCATTGATTTAGGCTACATTCACACTGCAGGCAAACACGGCCCTAATCTGATTGACTGATTGATTGATTGATTGATTGATTGATTGATTGATTAATTAATTGATTTATTCATTGATTTATTTAAACCCCTTTCCCATGCTTTTTTATGACCGACTGAACATGACTAATCCTTTTTAGGTTTTTTCAGTATGTAGGTCTAAATCAGATAAATGTCTGTTTTTCAAAGCGAAAAGTTTGAAATTTCTGGTTGCATTTCATCCAACTTTTAAGTCAGTGAGGTGGGGCTTTACAGATTGATCCAAGTATTTAGAACAGCTAGAGGCAGGTTCAGCTGTAAACGGTGAACTAAACAAGCATGTCAAATAATTATTTAATCTGTTCTGATTGAACAACCACTTCAGTATTGATCCATAACATGTAGCATCCATATGTACTTCTGTAAACACTGCATGAGCACTGTGGAGAGTTCACACTGGAGTCTGATGGAGGTCACATTTAAAATATTACATGAATGAACACACACACACACACACACACACACACAAAAAAAAAACAACAACCCGGAATTGATGATCAGGTTCTTCAGCGTGAACATAGCTGTACAGATCTCATAAATCCTCATTTCATTCACAATAGAGCAAAGTAAAAACATCCAATAAACTAAGCAACTGTAAAATTTTTAAGAAAAAAAAAAGCAATTGTGAATTTGAGGGCAGTAACACAACTTAAAAAAAAACCTGTGCGACAGCAGCAACAGAATACTGTAAAATTGGTTCAAATAAGGTAAAGAATGGGACAAGATTCCTCCAAAATCTCCAGCAGCTGGTCTCTACAGTTCCTGGATGTTTACAGACTGTTGTTTAGAGAAAGATGGAAATCCTCACTGTGGAAACATGATTCTGTCAAAACTTGTTTAAGATGTGTAAACGTTAAAACATTTTTTTCTCCAAAACTGGTCAAACTTTTAGTTTAATCATTTGACACATTTACTACATTCCTCTGTGAATAACATGTAGGTTTGTTAGATTAATGAATCACTGGGTAGCGCCTCTTCATGATGTCCTTTCATGATGATGACCACTGCTCTGTGCTGGAGTCAATGGCTGCGTGACCTGGGGGCACCTGTTCTCAGTGACATAATATGATGTTTTGTTTTTTTCCTCATCAGAGGTTTTTCTTTTTTCTTTCTGCACATACCGAAGTGTGTTACTTTGTGAACCGGTGTTCTGAACTGTAATTTCCCCTTGGGATCACTCACTCACTCACTCACTCACTCACTCACTCACTCACTCACTCACTCACTCACTCACTCACTCACTCACT